TACTGTTTTTGAATCACTTGATCTAAAGCTAAAGTGAGTAATCATAATATCAGATAATAGACCTTTATTATCATTGTATTAAATGTATTGAGTTGATACTAATAATAGCTTATTGAAAAGAGTGGTATAATATTATTCTTGAAAGTGGTTTTTCTTAGAAGTTGGTCAAGCCAAAACATTGATAGATTTCTATCACGCTCAAGTGATCTTACTGCATACCTAGTTTTATCATATTTTGTTATATTTTATTAGCTTTTGGTTCATCTATACTAGATTTCATAAGTAATAAAATAATATGTCAAATTGGAAAGAACAATTGAATCTGGTAACGATATAGAAGCAGCAATTCATAATATTGCTAGAATAAGAGTTGCTAATTTGCTTCTAAATCGTAATCAAGATATTTAAAAGAAACTCACTAAATAATAATTTGATTTTGATAATAACTTTATATCTATTTCTATAGAAAAAGAAAAGATTGAAATAATAGCTGGAATTAAAGGTTTATATGAATAAACGTAGCCAATTCAAAAAAAGGATGCTGGATTCATATAAGCGAGAATTTTGCCTGAAATTGAAGAATAGAAAAATAGTCTCTGGCTCAAATAGAAAAAATTCAAAAATAATATAAATATGAGAAACTAAATCCACAATATTCTACTCACACACAATCCTCAAAAAAATCAATATTTTTTAATATAAAAGTCATATACTAATAATATTATCTATGATTCATTAGGTTCTACTTCTAGTAAAATTAGTATGAATAAACTTGATTTTGAAAAATTCTTTATATATTTATTGTATATAGAATAAAAATAATTAATATAGAATTTAAACACTTCGAGTACCAATACAAATGTAGAAAATTCAGGAATGTAAAGGTAATAAAATAATATAGTACTTTTATAAAATAATATGTTATACTAATAATCAATTATTTTATTTTAGTGATAGCTATAAAGTATTCATATCTGGATGGGCTATAAAGTCAAATAATAAGAATCCTAAATGAGAACCATGGAAATGAATACCAAAAAATGTGAAATATTTATTAGAAAATATGTTTCATACTGGAATAGCAAATTCAAATAACAAATTTTTAGCTTAACAAATACGTGAAGAGCTTATGTGATGTGCTCAATGTGTAGAACTGAACAAAAATGATATACCTAGAATTCCTACCTTTCAGAATTGGATTGGTGGTTTCTCACAGAAATGAAAAGAAGTTATGGCTATGCTGCGTGAATTAGAAGTAAGAGAAAAATGTTAGGATTGTATAAAAAATAAGATCTAAATGCATAAAAATGCATAAAAATATAATTCTAATTGCTTTTGTTTATCAAATATTAATAAATAATAATAGTATATGCCTAAAATTCTCACTATATATATATATTTCTGTTAAATCTGATGTTGTCTCAAAGTAAAATTTTAAATAAATAACTAAATTTGTTGATTTTTTTATTAAATTTGGTTTTTGGCATTTAATATTTTATCATATAAATTTTGGTAATACAGCAAGATCATTTGCGATTTTTATATTTCTTAACATTTTGCCAATTTTGTTATTTTTATAATAACTGTATCCTGAATTTATATAATAATTTACTGCTAATTATATACAGATCAGATCTTAAATGCATTATACAGAAATACAAAATAACAATTCTTTAATATATTAAATTGTATTAAAAATAATTTAACAATAGATTAAATTCACTTTTCATAAATAAATTAGATCTAAACAATTTACCAAATGAAAATTTACATTATTATATAAATTCAGATAGGTATTTTTATTATATATATTTTGAAAATATCTCTTAGTATACAAGTTATTATTTCATAAAATTACAAATCTTTAAACTCTAATAGATTGAATAAAAATAGTTTTTCTATTAAGTTTTTTATTGAAATAATATACTTAATTTTATCTAATCATTATAAATTATACTAAAAACATTAAATATATTTGGATGGTATATTATTAAAATTGAGGTATAGATAATATGATTTACTATGTCTCGTATTTCAATTTTAATAGCATAATACTCATTTGTTTAGAAATTAATAAAATTATTTGTTAATTTAATATGTGTAGCTTATTAAATAGTTAGTATTTCTTGATTTATTAATTCAGTATAAACAAAATGTTTTCTTATAATAAAATATATTATATTAGTAATATCCAATATAATCTAATTAAGTTTAATTTAGTATTACTTGATTTTTATAAATAATATTAATTTTTATCATATAACTATTTTTAATAATCTTTATTATATAATATTAAAATTATTTACTAAATACTATTATTTATTATAATTTCTTTAATACTATTAGGTTTATATAAAAAATTAATTTTAATTTAACATAAAATCTTATATTTCACTTAAATTTCAAATATATATATATAAATTATATTATATTTTCTTTATAATAAAATCTTATAAACTTATTTTACAAAAGAATTTGTTATTTAAATTTCAAATATATGTATATAAATTATATTAGCTTTATAATAAAATCTTTTAAAATCATTTTACAAAAGAATTTGTTATTTAAATAAACAAAAATATATTAATATATAATTAATTTTAAATGTTAAAAGAAGATTATTTTTAATTACTTTATATTAGGTAATATAAATATATCTTGATGTTTAACTTTTTAGTAATTGGATCAATATATAATTTATTTTTATTATATTTATATTATTGTACTAATAATAATGTAATCACTGAAATATAATATTATATCATAAACAGTGAATTATAGTATTGGGTATCATACAAATTCTAGAATTTTAAAGGATACTATATTATAGGAGAAACTTTGAACAAGAAAAAGAATACACAAACCTTTGTAATCTTATCAATATTCTAAAATGTGACTTTAAAAATTGCATATCATCAATTTTAAATTAAAACTCCTTTTTATCCTTTTATACAAACTTAAATTAATAAAATCTTTTTTGTTTATTCTTTGTATTCTTTATTAAGTTTAATAATATGGTTGTTTATTGAGATAAAAATAAAAAGACATAAGTAACAACAAAAAAAAGAAGGCAATGGTATACTTGTGAAAAACTGCTTATAGTAAATCATGCTTAACATTATAAAAGTAAACATTGTTATGTCCGATTTATAACTCAAAAAAATTCACAAAAATTAATAATACTAAAACTAAACTCAGGGAATCACAATGAAGATTCGTAGTAAACATTAAAGATTATTCTCAATTATACACCAGTAACTTCTGGATATTTCAAAGATTACGTTTTAGTAACTATACCTTAAGTCAATATAACAAATCAATATAATACCATGCAAAGTTAATAAATAATAATAATATATATACAGGTTAAATAGTTGGGAAGGATAAGTTTTAACTTAGTTAATTATACGCTTTATTAATAATATAATAAATTGTAAGTTCTCTATCTCGTAAGATCATAAGGTAATAATCTCATCCAGTGAAATATTATCTTTACTCCTTCTTAAGATATCGCTAATAATGGATAGATTTTATTTAAAAAAATATTTTATTTATTTATTTATCATATTTTCCAACAATCTTCCTATAATGTCATAAAATTGAATTTATAAAATCAATTATATGGCTATTTTGTATTTTTTTTTTTTTTTTACCTTTATTTAAAAAACTTTTAATTTATTAAATTTTTCTAGCCCATATAACTTCACATTTCTTTTAATAATTAATCCAATCATTTTTAATATGTTTTAGGTATAGATTATAAAAAGAATAATCCATAACCTTTAGAATATTATTTTTAAAAAAATTATTAGTAAAATATTAAATTACTTAATAAAATGACTAAATTGCTATCTAGATAAAGCATTTTTTACATTTAATCTCCAATTTTTTCAATTTTTTCAAGTTTTATTGATGTTTTTATGTGAAATCTTTATGAACAAATGTATTTTAGCAGCATAGTATACTTCCTGTATTCAGAAATGTAATCTTATTTAATGTTAGTTTTTTGCCTAGATAAGATTACTTTAAAGCTTAATAAACTAATAAATTTTATTAAAATATAGAAAAACTTTTATTTGAAAGTAATATCTTAATTATAAGTCTGCCGCAGTTAAATTGTCATTTTTTTTTGCACACCACTATACGTCAGAAAAGTGAAAATTATCCAAGGGTGATGCATCAGTATTAATCTTTGTCCATGGAAATATTTCATTCAGCGAAAATAATAGAAATAATACATAAAGTTAAGCAAAATAGTATATTACATGCTTTTTGATTAATATCACACATTCTGACTACTTGCCTACTTGAGTCCTCACAGTTGATAATGCCGACCATGAAAAAAATCATCGACGAAAATGAAATTGTAGTATGCAAAAAATATAAAATATTTTTATCTTTTCTTAAATAAATAAAATATTCTTACAAGGAAAATCAGAAGCGAACTTACATCCAGAATGCCATTTCTTTTAATCTTGATTTCCCAAAAAGTTCCCGAATTTCAGTAAGTAATTGTATAGTTTCAATTTTATATTTGAATTTCGAGAAATAGGCAAGTACGTTACGATAATGATATCAGCTAATTATTGTGTCAATTAATTGATGCGATGGTAAAATGGATTTGGAGAAGATGGTAAGTAAAAAGAACTTTTTTTTGAAACCTTATTGAAATGGTAAATATTAATCATATTAATCGAGTATTTTTTGATTCTAATTTATTTATTATGCTGATATTATTGAAAACCTTAAATTAACTGAAAACGAAATAGATTCCTTTGGTGATAAGCATAGTGTAACGAAAATTAGCAAAGACAATGGTTTTTGAAAAGGCAAAGAACTAACTTTATAACTTATGGATAAAATAATCAATGCTTCATTTGATGAGTCCTCTCCCCCCAAAATTTATTTCACATACAGTATATGTGCACAAATAATTATTTATGATATAAAGCAAACTTTACAATAAATTTTTTTTTGCGGCATTAAAAAATTAACTTCGCCTAATTAACTCGACGGATCAAATTCCGTGCATCTGGTTCTGGCATTTCGGACCTAACTGTCAGATGTTCATTCAGGCCTTTTATGTCATCGTTATTTAATTTTGTACTTGATGTGTTTAAGGAAATACCGTCATTGTTATAAATACACATCGTTTTGCTTATATTTCGAGAGGATAAAATAAATTGTTGTCTTTACCTTTGGCCTACTTCAGAGCACTGATCAGAATCCTTTTAATTTATTGTTACAAAGAAATATAATTGTTCTATCGTTTTCTATTAGTTCCAGGGCATTGTGTCCCATTTCTGTTTAGTTTAAATTTAAGTTTTATTAGTATTTAGTTAGACTTTTGTAGATCGATGGCCCAATTGTC